TTTCCATCTCACAATCAGTAATCGTCCAGGCGAATGATCAGCAGGATGACTACAGCTGCTAAGAGTATCGAAAGACCGCATAGACCTAAATAGAGGTTATTTTATGATGTCGACAAGCAATTAGACAATGAAAATAGGCAGTTACCCGATGATGCCCATATTCCGTGGGCTGGTTTGGCGATATCACTGCAAAATAGTGATCCAAGATTTTGATAGAGATTATAAACGGCTCGAGCTGGCAGTAACTTCGTAGACAAGTCGTCCTAAACCATTTTATTTTTCCTTCATGGAAGAAAAGTACCAAATCCACATACCAAAACACCGTCAATTCCTCGTCGGACTGGTTGTTCAACAAGATCGAGAACATTCGAATGTGTTTTTTCCAATTTTTCATCAAGTGTACTGTTGTCAATCTCAATCACTGTTTTTAGCACACTTCCCACAACGTTCATGTCTTTTTGGAAGAAGTGCATAGATCTAAAATTTGCTAGTAGACTATTTTCTAAACTCTTTCAACATTTTAGATAACTCTCCGTCACAGCAGAACCTTTGGATTGATTTGGTCAGATAAAAATGCAGAAGAATGCAGATTAGGGCAGATTTCGAGATAGCATAAGCCTTTTACCAGGTGTAGCAAGAAGCAATTCAGATTAAGTTCAGAAAAATTTGACAAATGAATGAAGAAAAATTTCGAAGTTTCATTTTACGACTTTTGATGGATCATTAATTGTCCAAATCTTTACATTGCTCATCAGTGAGCATTCCTAAATCTGACAAACTAAATCTTAAAATAAATTGGCTCGAGATGTTCGCAACATTTTCGAGTATTCATAACTTCTTACTTTCTCAAAGAATTTGGGAATAGCCATACTAGAAGAGAAAATCACATGATTTACAGCAGCCTTAAAATCTTCCCAATACTCAAACACTTGTAATAGAAGCTTTAGAAGAAAATACTCAATATTGATTCTGTTCAGAATTGGCAAAATTAACCTGCAATACGTAAAAAACGGAGCAGTTGTCGATTCAAATTTTATGGTTTCCTTGCAAGAAAATCTTATGCTGATTTTCTATCAAAAGTTATAAATTTCGACAAAAATGCCAGAATAACCAAATTTGAAGCTTCATTTCTTGCTCATATGGAAAGAGCAGGTCACAAAGAGTCGATGCCGAGGCGGACTCCGTCTTCAGCAACGCATTTTTAAATTTGGATTTACATATTTCACATCTAAATGTTCTTCAGTAGTGGAAGAAGAGAAGCGAGTAGTTATGGATAAGTTGCTTTCATTCGTAAAAAAATCAAAATTATGGGTCTTTATTCATGTCAAGTGACCTAGTCAGAAATCTGTGCTGTCAGAATCTCTCTTGTGGCCGTCTCCCCTGTTCAGGCAAGACTGAACTTTGGGAGCTCTCCAGGTACCCTCGTAAATTCCTTGGTTTTTAATCATGGGCTGATTCTTACGTATTTATCGATGCTACGCCTCGTTCAATCTCTTCTGTCTCTGTGGGGAACTTGTCCGAGCATTCATTCAGTGGGTAGAACTGAGTCAAGTTTCTTAGCAGCGCCTCCATTTTTTCCATGATTTTGAAGGCCTCATCCTTAAGATGATAGTTCATGCTTATTCGAATGACAATGAGAATTTTGTTTTACCTTTTTTGGTGTGATATCTTCTTGAAACTTGAAAATCTCTTTTCTGACACCGTCAATCATTTCCAGTGTGGAATTTTTTATC